CATTGATATTACATTATGTATGGTTTACTGTTTAATGGTCTTCTACTGTTTTATGTTTTACTGTTTAATGCCCCCAGTGATGCAGCAGGTTAAATTGCTGAGCTGCTGAACTTGCAGACCATAAGGTCGGCGGTTTGAATCCAGGGAGCAGAGTGAGCTCCCACTGTTAGCCCCAGCTTCTGCCAACCTAGCAGTTCGAAAAAATGCAAATGCGAGTAGGTACCGCTTCTGCGGGGAAGGTAACGGCGCTCCATGCAATCATACCTGCCACATGACCTTGGAGGTGTCCATGGACAAAGCCGACTCTTTAGCTTAGAAACGGAGATGAGCACCACCCCCAGAGTCGGATAAGACTAGTCTTAATGTCAAGGAGAAACCTATACTTTAAATATTGATAGGTGTATCAGTTCCTAAATACTTGTGTCTGGTTTGTGTTTTGTGGCTAATGAGAGCTTCAGAAGAGGATCAGAATGAAATGGTTAATCTTACCCCAAAGTCATTGCTCCTGTCAAATCTCATGCTTTCCATATGGCTGTTTAATAGATAAACCAGGAAAGCTCTAATCACACTTCTGTTTAAGATTGTATTGTCTGAGTTACTTTTATCCCAAAAACAGCATGTTCTTGCGTAGGCCACAACATCTGAAGAGGGAGAAAATCACTGTTCTAATGATAAAACCATTATGAAAAAGAACCATGCATGTCTATGTGATGTACTTCCTTGTACAATGAAGACATCCTGTTCTTCCTTGCACAAGTGGTTGTCTGTTTATTATGACTGTTTTTGAATAGATGCATTGTTCCTCCTCACTAGTTCATGACATATGTAAGTATGACACCAAGGCTTTTCTGTAACCATCATTACAGTGAATCTCGGCCTTAGTTTAACCAGTTATTGGTCAAAAGTGCAGGACATAGGTATTTAATATTTTCAAAAATGCAAAAAAAGGACGACAGCATGGATGTACAACTGCATGGGGGCCAATCTTTGCCTCTGCCATCTTTCTATTGCATCACGCCCACATGCCATTTTCAACAGATTTTGACTGGAGTTTTATGTGTTGAGTGGGGTGAGGTTTAGGAACTGATACAAAGAATTACCCCCAAATTGGTCTGAGTTTTTTTTTTTTTTGTAAAGGAGGCTTTTGAGATCTCCAGGAGCTACAAGTGAGCTTTTTCTTCACCCTTGACAAGAAAAAGTCTGAGATATGTATGTCTGTATCTCCTTATTGTGCTGAGTGACTTATTCTGTTTTTTCAGCTGACCAAGTTTCATGAGAAACTGTTCAGTTCTGAGACACACTGCATGACTCCAAGATCTGAGCCATCAGTGCCTACAGTCTTTGACCTGTAGGAGAGGAGAAGAGAGAGAAGACAAATGGGCCTCAGACAAACTCTTAAGCTTATTTCCCAAGGAGAGAAACTCTATCTGAACTCCTGGGAGATCTGTGTGATATTGAATCCCTCCCTGAACCTTGCTAGGGCTGATTCATTTTCCAGTCTCTCACATTCCTGTGCACAGTATGAATTTCAGCACAGTTTGATATTTCCTGATAGCTTGACCTGGGGTGTGTTAACCAGAAAAGAGGGGCAGGGAAATGAAGTTATTGTAGATCTCATGCATGTGTATTTAGAAGGAAACATGATTGAGTTTAGTCGCACATCACTCATGTAGAACTTAAAAATGGCTTTCTTGACCTACAGCTCCCAGAATTCCTGTTGATGCCAGCTATTGTTGTTTATTCGTTCAGTCGCTTCTGACTCTTCGTGGTATCATGGACCAGTCCACGCCAGAGCTTCCTGTTGGCCATTGCCACCCCCAGCTCCTTCAAGATCAAGCCAGTCACTTCAAGGATACCATCCATCCATCTTGTCTTTTGTCGGCCTCTCTTCCTTTTTCCTTCCTTTTCCCCCAGCATCACCTCCTCCAAGCTTTCCTGTCTTTTCATTATGTGACCAAAGTACTTCATCTTTGCCATTAATATCCTTCCCTCCAGTGAACAGCTGGGCATTATTTCTTGGAGTACGGACTGGTTTGATCTTCTTGCAGTCCAAGGCACTCTCAGAATTTTCCTCCAACAAAAGCATCTAACTGAACTCAGCTAGCCAAATAACATTGCTATTCACTCAGCCTTCCTTATGGTTCAGCTCTCGCATCCATAGGCTACTACAGGGAATACCATTGATTTAATTATATGGATCTTCATTGCCAGTGTGATGTCTCTGCTCTTCACTATTTTTTCAAGATTGGTCATTGCTCTCCTCCCAAGAAGGAGGAGAGCAATGACCAATCTGAATTCCTGGCTGCAGTCTGCGTCTGCAGTGTGCCAGCTATATTGGCTAGGAAATTATTAGAAGTTCTAATCCAAGAAATCAGCTTTTCCCAAGTCTGCTTCCACATAATAAGAATGCCCAGGATTTAAATTTTGGTGTTCTTAGAACAAATATCAGAGCTATCTCTTAAGAAGCTCTGATAACTGTTTAAATTCTTCTTGTTAGCCACAGCCGTAGGAATCGAAAGTGTTGTCTTTTCTTAAATATGGTAGAATTTACAAGCCTTTATGGTGAAAACAATTTTTGGGAATAGAGTTCCTAGTGCAAAGCTGGCTTCAGGGCAAGCATGGAGATAATTAACTGTTTATTGAAAGGTCTGTGAGAGTTCACTTGGCATTTATATGGTGTTCAGTTATTTAAAAAACCTTGTAAAACTGTATTTTAAAGTGCACATTAATGTTTAACAGTCTTCTAACATCCTTCATTATATCAGCATAATGTTTTGTGGAGTTTCTGAGCAAGATGTATTAGAATATGGTATGAACCTTTGAACTTTCAAGCTTTTTGCTTTTGAGTCTAATAGCTTTTTGTACCCATTTATTCGAGTTTGTTGTAGGTTTCTTCAGGCTATATGGCCCTGTTCTAGAGGCATTCTTTCCTGACATTTCACCTGCATCTATGGCAAGCATCCTCAGAGGTTGTGATGTCTGAGCTTTGTTTTCTAACATGCAGTGTTGCAGTAAATGTGGGCAGAAATGGCAGAAAATTGAGAACTAGTTTTCTCTCAAAATTTTATTTCCTTTATTCCAAGTTTAGGCATCACAACACCCTACAAATGTTGTTGATCTACATTTCCCACCATTCTCCTTCTTTGTTTATGCTGGCCAGAGCTGACAAGAGTTGTAGTTCAAAACCATGATTCCTACTTATGCTCTTCAGCTAGGATAGCAATGTTATCTGGCTAGCTGAGTTCAGTTAGTCTACCCAGTGCTAGTCAGAACATTAGTTAGTCTGTACCCCATACTTTCCCCATACTTTCATTTTTTTAAAATTGAGTTATAGGACAAAAATATGCAGTGAGTATCCTGTTGAGCTGTTTTCCGAGAGTCCTGTTACTGCCTGTCAATGTGTTAAGCTAATAAGTGATGTTTCATTCCACTGAATGGCATTTTTATAGGCTTGTAATGGTAGTCTTTCCCAAATGTTGAAATTTGGGAGGAAACTAGCTTTTGGAGAAAGGTCAAGCTGAGGTATGTTTTCAGAACTTCTTGTGAGATGGTGGAGACGTAGGAATGACGATGTCGATTCAACAAATCTAAGCACCTTTGCAAAGCAAGCTATTATTGAAAGACCCATATTGTATGTTGGGCCTAAATACCCTAAAGGAGTGGTTCTCAACCTGTGAGTCCCCAGGTGTTTTTACCTACAACTCCCAGAAATCCCAGCCAGTTTATCAGCTGTTAGGATTTCTGGGAGTTGAAGGCCAAAACATCCGGGAACCCACAGGTTGAGAACCACTGCCCTAAAGACACTGGATCCTGTCGGATCTTGGAAGCTAAGCAGTGTAGCCTTGGCTAGTACCTGAATGGAAGACTGTTAGCGAATACCAGGTGCTATAGGTTATATTTCAGAGGAAGAAACTGGCCAAATGTATTCCTTGCCTATGAAATTAATTGGGCTGCCACAACTCAACAGGTAACTTAAAATTAAACCTTGGTGTGTCAAAATTTCATTCATATTGTTACTGATATATGTTCCGTCTCCCCACTAATCCCCACACCTCTGTAAGGTAAGTTTACTGAGCCATTGTGATGACCCAAAGCCACATGATATATTCCATGAACATTAGACTGCACCACTTGTCTCAGCTCAGTGGTTACTCAAAGGAGAAACATTACAGTTGGAGTGCTTAACTTGCATCGTTTGCAAATTAGAACCATGTGAAAAGTAGATGTCCAGATATGAGTATTTAGAATATGACAACTCTATGTACAGTGTCACAAATTTGTTCTTTTTCCCCACCTTTCACAACCTAGTTACCACAAGAAGTGTTAATACTGACACCATACATCTATCTCGACCAGTAGCATCTACTCTTCTATCCCCTCTTAATTTCTTTCCACTGAGTTTCTTTCCCTCAGATTACCAATATGCATTTGTCTCTGACCCCTCCAGGAATACTACATTGCATTTGTGAACTTCTTCTATATCCTTAATAAGGCCAATCAAAATAGCCTTGAGCTAAATGTGTTGGCTTATCTCCTTGAATTGATGCTGGATTGTGTCCAGATTTTAGCAGACATCCTGAAATTGGTTTATGTTTAATTCATGTTCGCCAAAAGTTATCTGTGTTTATAGAAGGTCTGGAAAAAACTTGTTTTCTTCATGAAAAAGAAATCAAAGTGGCAAAATAAGGTAGAGCAAGTATTTATTGCCTTTGTGTTGAGTGGGCTATGTTGGGGGGGGTTTCCGCAGAGGGGGCTGCATGTATTTGTATCTTTGCATTGTTTCTACTTTGCTGTTATCACCACATGAGGAAACTATTGTAACTCAATATATTTCAGTGGTTAACCTCTCCATCCATAAAACTGATCTGATGCATCTGTTTCCCTGGAGAAGATACTAAGTTTAGATTAAATTTTTGAGCTCTGTATAAGAAAAATAAATACAGCTGAAAAGCCATATTTGGAAATGATGAACTAATGTTAAGGCTTAATGTAATTTCCAGGTATGCTGTTCTGTGTGGTCAGTTCTCAGAGCATGAAAGTATACAAAAACGCATTCATGCAGGGCATGATTTCAAGGTGAGTCTGACTGCCATTTGTACATGTTAAAAGAGTTTTGTTGCAAGGAAAAACATAGAACATTTTGTAGAGCACATTACAGTAAGGGCCCTTCCACACAGCCATATAGCCTAGAATATCAAGACAGAAAATCCCACAATATCTGATTTGAACTGGGTTATCTGAGTCCACACAGTCATATATTCCAGTTCAAAGTAGATATTGTGGGATTCCCTGCCTTGATATTCTGGGTTATATGGCTGTGTGGAAGGGCCCTTAGATAGACAATATGTAACCAAGGCAAATACCAGCTTCCCCAGAAACAGATGCAGTTGGTGCACTAGTTTTAACTGAGCAAAGACAGTTCTGGTTACTGCTGAAACCTGAAAGTTGAATCCAGAGGTACCCCCCAAACTATGAATCTGCATTTTCAGAGAATGTAGCCCCATCTAGCTGAATCCCTATTCCCAGATCTATCTTTCAGTTTACCAGGAGCACCTCTGTCTTGTCTGGATTAAGTTTCAGCTTTGTTGGCTTCATTCAGTCCATTACAGCTGCCAAGCACTGGTTTAACACTTTAGGTTGAAAGGACTAATAGAGTGGGGCATTACCAGCATACTGGTGACACTTAACCCTAAAACTCAGGACTCTTCTAGAGGTTTCATTTAAATGTTAGGTAGGGAATAAGACTGAACCCAGCATCGCCCTCTGAGAGCACCCCTCCAGAAAAGAGCAGACCCACTGCAGAACAGTAACTATAAACTCCATTTGAAAGCTATAGACATAAAAGAAGATGCATTTCTTACTTCTGGGAAGATTTCAGAATGCAAGTTGAGATTATTTCAGAAAATGAGAGTTTGTAATTTAAAGTGTTCATATTTGGTGTGGACTACTTACTGCTTTCCAGACTCTTGTCTTCCAGGTGTTTTGGACTTTATTATGTTTATTATTATATTTATTTATACTCTGCTTTTTCTCTCCACAAGGAGACTCAGAGCAGCTTACACTAAAAACATTTCAGTACAATTTAAAATCTACAAATAAACGAACATTCAATCAGAATTAAATATCATTGGTATGAAAACATTCAGTTAAAATCCATAAAAATATTCACAACTTAAAAATCAGAGCACCCCCTGACTTGGTCTTAAAAACATTCTTCTTTAAAAGCCTGCCTGAATAAAAAGGTTTTAGCCTGCCACTGGAAGAAGAGTAGAGAGGGGACCGTTCTGGCTTCCCTGGCAGGGAGTTCCAGAGTCGAGGGGCAGCCACTGAGAAAGAAGGCCCTCTCTCTCGTTCCCACCAACCGAATGTGTGATGGAGGTGGGACTGAGAGAAGGGCCTCTTCTGAAATCCTCAGGACTTGGGCAGGCTTATAGGAAGAGATGCAGTCAGCTACATAGACTGGACCTGAGCCATATAGAGCTTTAAAGGTCATAACCAGCATTTTGAATTGTTCCAAGAAACAAACTTGCAGCCAGTGGAGCTGCTGCAACAGTGAGGTTTGTCTGCTACATGCAGCCAGCCCCAGTTAGCAAGTTCTTTGGACTAGCTGAAATTTCTGAACACTCTTCAGAGGCAACCCCAACGTAGAGCATGTTACAGTTGGCATACAAGTTTTAATTGTGCAAAGACCCTCCTGGCCACCGCAGATACCTGGGCCTCCAGGTTCAATGTTGAGTCCAAGAATACCCCCAAACTGCAAACCTGTGTCTTCAGGGGGCCCATTCAGCACAGGTTGGACCCCTATTCCCTGATCTGTCTTCCAACTGACCAAGAGTACCTCTGTCTTGTCTGCATTAAGTTTTAATTTGTTTGCCCTCATCCAGTCCATTACTAATGACAGACACTGGTTTAGGGTCAGAAGAGCTTCCTTGGTTCTAAATGGAAAGGAGTAGTAGAAATTGTTGTCATCTGCATATAGATGGCACCATACACCAAAACTCTGGATGACCTCTCCCAGCAGTTTCATGTACATGTTAAACAGTAAGGAACCCCACAGGTCAGTAGCCAGGGGTTTGAACAGAAGTCCCCCAGCACTACATTCTGGGTATGGCCCTCCAGGAAGGAACGGAGCCACTGTGAAACAGTGCCTCCCAGTCCCATCACAGCAAGACAACCCAAAAGGATACTGTATTCAATGGTATCAAAAGCCACTGAGACACACTGCCCCTGTCTAACTCTCATCTCCCAGAATCCTTGATCATTGGCAGCTGAAGTCCAAAACATCCAGAACTACAGTTTGGGAATCACTGTTGTAGATTTTGGCATTTTCAAGTAGTATATTCACAACTTGTGTTTTTGTTTAAATAAATAGAATGGTCATATTTTAAGATCGGAGCTCTTTAACTGAATTGCCTTTTTTTCCTTCTCAAAGTGCGGTCTTCTGAATCTTTCAGGTGTGCTTAATGAATAAAGTAAGTCTTTTTGTGTATCTTTTAGAAACACGTGGACAAAGCAATCACTCTGAAACCAAATGACCCTAAGTCTTATTATCTTCTGGGCCGATGGTGTTACCAGGTAATTGATTTTCTTTGGTATGTTTCTTCTAGAATCCACAGGGTATCATACGGTACTAAAATATTTTGTCTAAATAGGGAATAAAATGAATCTGTAGAATGCCTTGAGGTAGCTCTGTTCTTGTGATTTGCAATGAATTTTGAACCATTGATAAGATCTTTACAGTAAGGGTCAGCTTCATTGACTGGTTCACTGACTTGAATTACTGCATTTACTTTGACGCAGATGGATTTCCTCTTATAATATAATTTCAGTGTTATACCTTTCCAGTATAATCCTTTTGTGCCAGATAGTCCCATATTTTTTAAAAAAATTATGTCCTTCGGCCCTTTTCCCTGTTTTTTCCTGTATTTCGTTGCTGGTAATTTAAATGCCATGTTGGTCAGAACAATGTAATGTACAGATTAAGAATAAATGAAAGTACCAGTAGGTTCTTTGCAGGAAGAAAATGTAGACAGGTACAGTGGTCCTGTGTTTCTATCTGAAATGCAGATGTGCACGCACACACCTCTCTCGCTGATGTTTAAGTCCAGTGACATATGACCTTTTTCAGCAATAAAAAATTGGCACCACAGAACTTAAGACATAACAGGGTTATCTAAATAATGAGGGATAGTCCTTGTAAAATTGCTATTATTGGGAAATCAAAACATTTTAAATATATATATATACTAACCAATAATGATTATCTGATATGTTTAGTGTAAGCATAAAGGGAATGAAAACCAGATTCCTGTATACTGCCTTGATCTTCTTGGAGGAAAGATGAGATATGAATGTAATAAACGACCAGAAATCCATAACAGCAGCCTCATAAAACCTGTTAAACATTCTACTGAAATATAACTATTCTTTGTAGCATTGGATGACTTTATATTATTTTCTGTGCCTATGTGCTAGATGTCAGTTTTGCAGTAATACCATTAATGTCTTGGTTTCAATCCCTTCCTTTTTTTTTTCTTTACCTCTAAAGAGGAAAAAATGATTTTATTTGAAAGCAACCGTTGCAAGCTGTGAGAAACCCAAGATGCTAGGGAGTGTTAGTGCTCCTAATTTATTGCTTTGGTCATTTGAGGGAGGCAGAGAGGGGAAGGAAGTGGACACAAAAGGATCATGAAAGCAATACACTAACTTCGCTTTGCCCATATATTTTTTTCTCCAGTAAAACAATCATGCTGTAGACTTTGAAACACACATGGGTGTGATTAAAGCTATTTTGCAGAACTCTAGGCCTCCTACATGCATTGTATCAGGATAATCCCTTGCATGTGTTTTCCGTCTGCTCCTTTATCACAAACTGTTTCAGGTATTAGAAGAAAAAAACACACCATCTGCTTTTTATTTTTCAGTGAAGCAATTTGTGGAAACTTATGCCAACATACTCTTTGCTTTCAGGGTGTCTATAAGGAACAAACATTTTATTGTTATTTTAACTTTGATGGGTAAAAAGCATTTTAATTAAAATTATACCCATCCCATTCAGAGATACTGCATATGGTCTTCACCTTCTTGCTTCATTTGTGGAGGGATCCCTCAATATATTTGCATACTGACAGATTTCTGAGTTGAAATCTCAAAAATCAGTCTTGAATGGCAGAATTAGACCATGACCTTTCTGTCCAAAACACTGAAAGGAAATCTGCATTGGCTGTCACTATGCTTCCAGTTCAAGTTCAAGATGATGTTTAAAGTCTAAACTGCTTAGGATCTCCCTACTGGAGGAAGGGCATATATCCTAACATACGCTAGTATTAAGCTCTGTCAGGGAAATTTTTCTCTGGGATTCATATTTGGAAGTGGTATGTTATGTGGAGAGGGGTCCTTCTTCTTTATATTCTTCAGTAGGAGATGCTTTCCCCCAGAAACCTGGAGGTGAATGCCACCTGAGGCTGGTTTCATTTCAGCACCGAGTCACTTTTAATCAAAGCTTCAAGTATTAGCAGTCATAGTTAGATTTTTTTTTTCATGTCAGGAGGAGCTTCCACTGCACTCGGGGAAGAGAGTTCAGCAGTGGAACTCTCTGCCCCGGAGTGTGGTGGAGAATCCTTCTTTGGAGGCTTTTAAACAGAAGCTGGATGGCCATCTGCCAAGGGTGGTTTTAATGCAGGCTTCCTGCTACTTGGCAGTGGCTTGGACTGGATGGCTCACGAGGTCTCTTCCAACTCAATGATTCTATGATTCTAGGAGCGACTTGAGAAACAGCAAGTATCTTCTGGTGTGAGAGAATTGGCAGTCTGCAAGGACTCTACCCAGGGACGCCCGGATGTTTTACCATCCAGTGGGAGGTTTCTCTCATGTCCCCTCATGAGAAGCTGGAGCTGACAGACAGGAGCTCACCCCGCTCCCCAGATTTGAACCGCTGACCTTTCGGTCAGCAGTCCTGCCGGCACAAGGGTTTAACCCATTGCGCCACCAGGGGCTCCTCATAGTTAGGTTTTGACTCATCTTCATTAATTGCCAGTTAGGTTTCCCAGTATTGCTGTTTTACTTTTCTATTGTTGCTGTTCTTTGTTTTATTGCTTATGCCCCACATTGGAATCTGTTAATAAAGTTGGGTTGCAGTTGTTTAATAATGCCATTGGCCTTCATTTTTACTGAGAAAGTTGGCCTGCCCATTTCGGTCTTGTGTTGTATTTTTCCAACTAATTCACAAAGTCGGTTGAGCAAAGTCCATTAGATGCAAGCAATTGGGTTACACTTATTCCATGCATAATACTGCTGTTTAAATTAATTGGAAGGCAGTTCATTTAATTATCTGAACAAAGTTCTTGGTAGAATACTACAGTAACTGAGAGATCAGAGAAAGATGTCCAGGTCGTGGGATTTAGGAATGTAGTAAACTAGGAATATAGAAGACTTTTGCTCTGACTTGCCTTATCTACAGTAATTGACAGTAGCTCCCAAAGGTTTCAGACCAGGTTTTCTCCTAACCCAACCTCTGGATTGGGGATCTTGGCATATCTGAAACCCTTTGGAACCCATGTTTTACCTCTAAGCTATGGCCCTCCTTCTTTTCCCTGTTTTAATTCTCTACCCTCTAGCAAAGCCATATGTATTTAGTTTAGCATGACAGAACAGTGTATCAAATGGTGTAATAAACATTTAACTGTTTGTATGCAGGTCTCTCACCTAGGATGGTTAGAAAGAAAAACTGCTTCTGCTTTGTATGAAGAGCCCCCTACGGCCACTGTCCAAGATGCACTGCAGAACTTCTTAAAGGTACTGACAACTGAGTGAAACAGCAGACTAATGTACTAGGTTTGCATATAAACCATGACAGAAGCAACAATAAGTGAAACATTTGCAACAACCCAATTTATTCACTTAACACTGTATTGGCCCTCTTTGAGTTGTGATAAAAGCAGCTGCTGTGTTGTCCTTATGTTTTAAAAGCCTCATTCAGGGTAGACTTTTGTCTACCCTAATTAAGCTTTCATTAAAGGTAATATTTCAGCAAAAATAACAGAAAGCAAAGTCCCATAGCTATTAACCTGTCACAGTATTAGATCTGTGACTCAGATGATCAAAAATGAAAAGTTTTAAGCTTCTTTGGCTGTTGGAATGAAATTTAGACTTACTTTATAACTTTGCGGTGTCTATAAGGAGTTGAGAAAGTGGGAATGATTTGTCCAAGCCCCCAACGCACTGCTGTTGCTAAAATCTAACAATTGAAAATATGCAAAGCTTACTTACTTTGAAAATACTTAGAGCAAACACAATTTACTTGCATTTGAGCTTCCACATTGCTTATAATTACCATGCGTTTTTGTGAAACAACAGAGGGTCTTGTAGCACTATCTCTCTACATAGCTATTCCTATATATAGTTTTTTGCATATTGTTCATTAGATGGGCTGGTCATCCACTGATGGAGAAGGAGACTCAGTTGAGAGAGAAGCATGTGGAAGTATTTGAAAATCTTCCCAAAATAATATGTGTTTCACATGAAAATTTATGTAAATCATGGGGGAAACGTCAGTTAAATTTAACTGAAATGTATCTGTCTAATATGCATTTCATAGTGAATTGTTTCAATTGTACATTACTTAGCATAGCTGAAATTCAACATAGACTCTGTTCACCTGGTTTTCTTTGGAATTTTGTTGTTTTTCTTGTCTTGTAGGCTGAAGAGCTGAACTCAGGTTTTTCAAAGATGGGAAGGGTATACATTGCAAAGGTGAGTGTATGTTTCCCGGACCACTAATTGTTTGTCTTTTTATATTGTTTATACCACAGGTGTCTATACTTGGTGAGAACATATGAAGTTGCCTATCACAATGTTACACTTTTATTGATGTAGAAAACAGACTCTTCCAGACCATCTGAATTGTTCAGAATGGTCATTAGACCATTTAGTCCAGTATTCATTATTTAATCTGACAATGGCTCTCAGATGTCTTCAGGATATTTCCAAATGCTGTAGCCAAATACTTATTTAACTGAAGGTTCTGGGAAATAAAAATGACATCATTTGCATGCAGGCCACATCACTGAGCTATAGTCACTACTTCTATGGTATACACTATTACTTCTTAAACTGAGGGTCTCAGCCTCTTGGCTCATTGTTGGGGTCATGAAAAAATTGGCCACAGTGAAAGATTTCTGAATGCCACCCATTTGTGCGTGGTTTGGTAGCTTCACAGTGGCAGATAGGAAGGCGCTCCAGAGGGTCACCACTTCTGCACAGCAATCATTGTGCAGAAGTGGTAGAATGATAAAGTTCTCCCCTAGAAGAACTTTATAGTTCCCACTGCCTTAAGGAAGCGCAGAGCATTCTTGGGGATCCATCCCACCCTGCATATACTTTTCTTTTTTTAATTATTGCCATCTGGCATACAGTACAGGGTGACAGAGACAAGGACAACAGACTGAGGGATAGTTTTTCTCCTGGAACTGTGGTTCTGTAGAACTCTGTGGTTTTGCATTGATGTGGCATTGGGGGCTATGTGGTAGTGTGAAGGGATGGATGTGTTGTTTTGTGGTATGAGCAGGGGAAGGCATGTAATTTCCTTGTTCCATAGCACAATGACAAATAAAGTTATTCTGTTTACACTAACCTGGTAACAACAACATGCAGTATTGACAGTGGACTCTGCAGAAAATGCTTCAGTTGTTTTCCAGACAAAAGAAATCAGCTGCTTATTTTTTTCGCTAACGTTTGAATTTTTATACCTATTTCATATACCTATATACATGGGGTCATATAAAAAAATTCATACAGAAAGGGGTCACGAGCGGAAAAGGTTTAAGAAGCCTTGGTATATAGAACAAGATTGGGTAACACAGGTAGGACTATAGGCTACACATGCTGCACCTCTCTATTACTGATGGGATCATTTCACTAGGTTTATCCTCCCTGAGCTATTCTGGGTTCAAGAGAATCCCCTTTTCAAAATTGTAAATAACACAAAGATAGCACTATGTGACACAATTTTTGTTATAAATGTCAATTCCTAATTGCTTCTGTCATTAAAAACATGGAAAAAGGTTTATTAAACTACTAAAAATTTGGTTTTTCTGGGACACCCTGGAGCACATTTTACGATAGTTTTTCAATGAATATCTCATAGAGTTTCAACCAATTCCACATAGTTTCTGGCAAGCACAAAAATTAAGTTTCTGGAGAATAACAACTACTTTCGAAGTAAGTACCGCACAACTAAACAGAAAATGACACTTTCAAACCAGGAACAGTCGTCGTCGTCCCCCCAAATTTTGTTACATAGCCTAATTGGGAGGAGGTGCAAATCGGTTTAGAAATACCCCCCAACACTTTCTGGAATTTATGAATAGTACTTCTCAATTATAAATATTATGGTTGGGGATTGGCCACAATGTAGCATGTTCAGGAGTCTGCATGCCAATTTCTGATGGCAAGCAAATGCAAAGTGCTGAATAAAAGCAGAAATATTTACTTCAGAGTGAGTAAATAAATAGTTTAGAGCAGTGGTTCACAACCTGTGGGTCCCCAGATGTTTTGGCATTCACTCCCAGAAATCCTAACAGCTGGTAAACTGGCTGGGATTTCTGGAAGTAGTAGACCAAAACACCTGGGGACCACAGGTTGAGAACCACTGGTTTAGAGGAAATGGCCAGGCAAATTTAAAACACAAAAGAAAAAGCTGATATAATAGGACAGACAAGTGGGGAGGAAGGTGGGACTGTCAAGTAGCAATGGAATCTGTTATATAGGATTAGCATTGTAAGTTAGAGAAGAAAATTGTTTTTCTCTTAAAATGTTTGTTTTACGTTAAAATACTCCACACTTGTGAATGTATGAACTACATAAATGAGATCCCTCCCATTTCTGTTGGGATCACAGAAATAAATGCCTAAACCTAGATTGTTTACACAGATGTAGCTTCTAATTATTCTATTGCAAGAATAATGTGACACAGACATGTGTGAAAGTGCAGACAATATGTCCATATTGTTTTCCACCAAAATATATGGGAGGACAAATATGTGACTGTTCATTCCATAATTGAATTGAGACACACAAAGGATTTGGAAACTGTTGTTTCCCCAAATGGAATAATGATTCTCAAGCATTAAAACCCCTACAGTGTTCTCTTCCTGTGACCTCCAGTTGGAGCCTATGCACTTTTAAAGCCAAATGACATTTGCTATTACAGCCAGTGGGGAAGCCAAGAGTAACATAACTGAATTAGTTCTCTGCGAAACCAGTGTATTCCCAAAGTCCCAATTTTCATTTTGAGTATGCAAGCGTGAGGTTCTGTTTTTACTCTAGACTGAGGTTATTATAATTTGAAGCTGTAATGAGTTTTCTTACAATAAAAATTTGTGAACTGAAATATTAAGTTCCATGATGTATAACTGCAGGCCAAAATTATAAATTTTGCTATGATCTATGGATAAGTCAAGGGCCATACTTAGAAAGGGAAAAACTTAGGGGGCACTTAAAATTTAGAGACATATAAGGGGAAGTGTGTATATGAGGAGGTTGAGTGTTGTTATGGTTCCTCAGGCAGAAAAATATCTTGGCCTGCCCCAAATAGGAGAGTGAGTGAAATTTGTCTTGCTATGGCAAGATTTAACACTGGAATTCCAATGATAGAATAGTGAACCCAATGGAAAACAGGGCAAAATATATGGGAGGACAAATACGTGATTGTTCATTTCATAATTTAACTGAGACACTGTTGCACCTCAGCCAAGAAGTCACTTTTCACTCAACACGAGGCAGGAATCCAAAAGTAGTAGTAAAAGAGTTTATTGAGAAAATTACCTATAAAAAGGAAAAGTCACCAAAAGAAATAAGAAAGGCAAAATCCAATAAGTAATGGGAAAAACAGCCAACAAGTAATAAGTCAAACCAAACTGGCAATAGGAAAAAATACTCCAAAGATGATAATCCAAACAGTCCAAATCTATTCTATAAAACAAGGTACAGGAAACCCAGAATCAAAACATGAATATGAATCCAAAAGCAAGACTACAGAAACTTCTTAAAACATGAATCAAATCTCCCAAGATCTTAGAGTCAAAACATGAACTGGAAAAAGCAGATCCTCACTGCTTTGCAGCATTGCCTGATCTGAATTCTAAAGGGAACCATTCTCTGATTTGAGGTTCACAAGCCATGAAGTCATGGCTTTGAGCATTACTGCCTTGCCTGTGCGATTTCTCCCACTGCTGTTTCTCACAGAGTCTCTGTGGCCTTCTTAATTTGCTTGCTTCTTCCCATCTGAGATTTCTGCTAACCGCAGGTGTGTTTTCAGGTGAACTTTCTCACCCATCCAACTCCTTATCAGGGTTGCTATGAGACGACCAGGTGAAAGGCCTTGTCCTGCATGTGCATCTCCCTGTCTGCTGGACTCTGAGGCAGTTTCACTTTCAATCCCATTCTCACAGACAGGATCTAAACTCACCTCATGACCCTCATTGAAAACCCTATCCACTCTCCCAGGTCCTGGAATAACAATCCCCTCATCGTCATTAGCTGGCTGAACCACAACAGACACAAGTATGCCTGTTCTGATCCCAATGTGCTGTTTATAAGGAGGGTGTCTTAATCTTGTTGAGAACAGATTGCGGTGCCTTTGCTCTGTATTCTTCCTCCTTGTACTTTTGTTAATCTATCTCTTGCAAAAGAGCTCTAATGTTAATGTGCTGAATGGTCCTTTCTCCAGACTCCTTCAAGCTTCCTTGAACAAAATGAATGACTTTAGGGGGTGTAGCTGGCTCTGACGGCGACGTTCCGCTTCTGGGCAGGGTTCTTAAAGGGGATGCCTTAAGAAAAAGGCTAACTAAGTTCCCTCCCATAATTATTATATACAGAGAGCTAAACTTTTCCTAACTAATAGAGGCCCAACCTCAAGGAAAATGGTAGGGGCTTCTGTGGGGGCATGACAATGCCCCTTGACTTATCCATGGATCATAGCAAAATATCATCAAGAATTATATTGACAGTTCTAAAACTTCACTTACTCCTGAACTTCTAATTGTTCCACAATTGTTCTCTCAAATATAAAAACTCATTCTGGTTACCTGCACCTGTGCTTAGTTCAGTAGAGTTTATGCATATATGAGTTAAAAGTATGTCTCATGAAGCAAAGTTGTTCTTAAAGTGTGAATGAGACTACAATTCCCCAATGCCAGAAGTTAACTTGCTGTATAGTACTGTGACTGTATACATTTCTGTGCATGCCATACTACATTCATTAAGGTTTATATTAAGGTAAATCGTATATGTTTTGGACCTCGGATATCTTATTTGGACCACAGTGAAGCATCACCATGTCATGGAAGTATCTAATGAGCTGCATTTTTACTGTTGTTCTGAAATGTTCCATTGTTTTGTCTTTTTGTGTTTTTTCCCCTTTCTTACAGTGTTACAAGGAACTGGGAGATGATTCTGCAGCTGCTCACTGGCTGAGTTTGGCTTCAGAGCTGACCGTTATCACAAAAGAGGTAGTGTCTGTCATTTGTATGTGAATACACTGATTTTCCTAACAAGCAGTTCAAACAAGAGAAGGGACCTGAAAGAAAGTGTTGGATAGGCCTTTCCCTCCCTCAATTACGGTGAGAGGATGGAAGGCAGGGAGGGGACCATTGTTGATTTCCCTCTCATTTTGTTTCTTTTTCACTGTCAGAAAAACCACCATGCCAGGTCCAAGGATCGCATAGTTCTCCAACTATAGGTATACTTCTGTTAACAAAGCAGGCTTTCATAGACATTTTTTCTGTTAACAACAAAAAATATCAGAGACAAAAATAAATTGGAAAGGATAGGGTTAAATTCCTGCACCATAAGAAAGGAGAACTTTCTTGATCTTTTTATTATTTGATTCAAAGCTAATACTACACACGTATGAAATGAAACGAACAAATTCAGTAAGCTTTGCTTGAATAAATAAACACATTTTAAAATTTCCAGAGGTCACCTGACAGCTTCTTTCAAACTGCAAATAGAGATGATTTTTTGTTTGTTTCATGGCCTGTTGTTATTGTTGTTGTTGTGTGCCTTCAAGTTACTGTATATCCAAATTACGGTAACCCCAAGATCACTATAAATTACTGAGAAAACCCTATGATCTCCAAGGTCATAGAATCATAGAGTTGGAAGAGACTTTGTGGGCCATCCAGTCCAACCCCCTGCCAAAAAGCAGGAAGCATGGGGTGTCTTGCTCACTATTTCGTATTATGCAAACCTGGCATTGCTATCTCCAGAGCAGAGTTTAGTACTGCACTAGCAAGCCTGCCATTGTAGACAGGTAAATTTGGGAAACAAGATGTCAAACTTAAAAATCCCAGTCTCTGAACATGGAATTGGGGAGCCCAATCAAAATACAGAATCATCCATGCAGGCAGTAAGAACTTGCCAAAGTTAGCTAAAATCCCTAGTATACTGTCCTCATATCCCAGGATCTGATCCCAGATTATCTGCTTATCCCAGATTATATGGCAGTGGAGACTCATATAATCCAGTTTAAAGCTGATAACCTGTATTCAGATCCAGGGATATAAAGACAGTGTAGAAAGGGCCTGAGAAAGACAAGGCACAGTAAGGAAACAAGTAAAGCACCTGGAGATATGCATATCCCTAAATGAAGAAGAATGAGCTGCCACAGTTGAAACTGGACAGGAAGAGTTTTCTGTTTTAGATTTGTCATTATTGAACTAAAGAAGAGTCCTGATCAGCAGGATCATGTAATTTTACAAATGGTAATACTAATGCATTTATTTATTTATTTTTGTCCAGGATGCAGAAGCTGACAAAGAAATAGAAGAGATGCAAGCAGTGTCAGAAGACTAAGCAAGTGTAATGTTTCCATTCATGTGATGGTTACAAATGAGCAAAACGAGATTTCACAGTCCTGGCCCTAAGAAAACAAAAATGAAAAACAAGTTAGCTAGCATATCTTCATGGATATTTTGAAGTCATGTATGTTCACCAATCAAATTCATCATTCAAAGAAATATTAATAGAATACTTCCTGTAATGATATTCAATCAACATTCTGTTTCATATGTTGATCCCTGTCCATAAAACATTACAATAATTCTTCAGAAACAGGGGTTATACCAGGGCCTAAATCTAGTTGTCATACTAGGGCCTAAAACGAGACAGTTGTGTACAGGCGAGATATGTATTACTCCTTGTACGTATCCCACTGAGGATCATTCAGTCTGAATTCTGTTGTTAACCCCAACTAGATGAGATACACTGACTCAATGGGAACTTGGGAAGATCATGTTCAGTAGTTTTATTCTAGTGTTCAAAGGGCCTAAATTCAATTCTGCCTAACCTGAATTGAACACACAAGTTAAATTGCGATATGATTCCCCATGCTCCATAAAATTAATTTTCCTTAATTATTTGAATACTCCATTAAAACTGTTAGCTGACTGTATGTACACACCCACATATATGTGGCTTAGGTATTTGTGGTCAGTTCACAGGGGAAAATTGGGAGAATCTACTGTACATGTTAGATACAATTCATTGTCTATTGTTATTGAAAACAGTTGAGCACTGATCCTTTTGTGTGCGGCTAACATCTAAGTGTGGGTTGGCAGCATGACATTAAGAGTGTAGTTAGCAGTAGGCCATTATTCTGAAAACTAAAGTTCCACTTTACCCCTTACAAATACCTCTTACAATATTTTTGTCTAACGCACAAACCTAGCTAACTCCTTCGGGACATCATGTTGCTTCTTGACTACACTGTGATATTATTCTGCATGAGCAGAAGAGCCTAACCCATGGAGCATATGTCAGAAAAATATCAACGTTAAATTCCTTAACGTTTGGGGACCAAATCACTTTTTCAGTTTCTATAGATGTTTTAAAAGAAACAGTAACACAACCAGAAGAGACAGTTAAAATCAATGTAAGAGATTTAAAACAAGAAGAATTTTCTGTCCCTGCTGGTTTTGCCAATGTATGGCAACATAGTTTTTTTAAAGTTGTCACTAAAATGCATTCCTTCTTTGCAGTCTAGAGCATTAACTGCTGACTATAGAGCAAGAATGGGCCGTGGAGGGGCTCCAGTGTAAGTCTGCAATTTTTTGTAATTAGAAAAAAATATTTTGGGCTGTTGTGTGTTTTCAGGGCTGTACGGCCATGTTCCAGAAGCATTCTCTCCTGACGTTTCACCTGCATCTATGGCAGGCATCCTCAGAGGTGGTCAGCTCTCTGAGGCGAATGCTTGGAACATGGCCATACAGCCCAGAAAACACACAACAACTCAGTGATTCTGGCCATGAAAGCCTTCGACAATACAAAAAAATCCTTTCCTTAGAAAAAATATTTCTACGAACCATGGAGGCAGATTCACCAGGGAGAGGTGACCTGACAAAAAAGACCTTTTTTGGACCTAAAAAAAATCACTGCCCCCTGGAAACCTGGTGAATTTGCTCTCGAGAAGGCCAGGGTATGTGCTTCCCCCAAATCTTATATATTTACAACTGTTGTTATGATGTAATACTGCAGTGTATACTACATACTTATGCCATGAAATCAAATTACTCTTCAGTTTCAGCCTGCTGTAGACCCAACAATCTTACTAGCTCCCAGGTGTGATATAATTCTGTGTTCTGTATATCCTCTCCTTTTGGCAGCAACACAAGTGAGGTTTCTCCGTATTTTTAAAGGCTAAATTTTACAAGTACGTTGTGGCAGAGGTATTATAATAAGTTGTAATACACACTGCCATGTTTGACATTTTTATACAATGAGGTTAGCTAATAAGACGTTTATGATTCCTACTCCTAAATATAGCATTATACTAGGATTGTTTTTTTAACATTTCCAGAAATCATGGCAGAGAAGGGAACTATATTTTTCATCCAGATATTTTCTTCTTTTTTCATATTTCTGCCCAAAACATTTGAACTTTCACTTTGTCCTGGATACATGTCCAAGCAAACAGGCTTATTCCATGAAAACAAGCTTAGAAATGTTTTCCCCCAATGGGTATGCTTTTAATGGCACTTGTGATTAAATAGCAAAAGCAGAACTTTGTCCTCCACTATATTAATGGATTCTGCCCCCATAAATTCAAATTTCCTTGGCTTGAAAATATGTATTTAAAATAAACCACAAAGCAAACCATGACTTTGCTATTTTATATAAAGGACATTGTTTTATGATACCATTATATATAATTGGACTTGAGCATCCATTGATTTTTGATATCCATTGCGAGGTCCTAGAACCAAACCCCAGCAGATCTTCTTAAATGGCTGTGAAGTGTGGGTGCTCCTCAGTTCAGTACATGGCCAGAAAGTGTCTTCTAAAAGGTCTGCTAAATGAACATTGTATGTTATTTAAAGGTTTATATAAACATTCTAAAAGTAAAGGTCAAGGTCTCCCCTTGACATTAAGTCTAGTTGTGTCCAACTCTGAGAGGCTGTGCTCATCTCCATTTCTAAACCGAAGAGCCGGCGTTGTCCATAGATGCCTGTTAGGCCATGTGGCCGGCATGACTGCATGGAGCACCATTACCTTCCTGCTGGAGTGGTTCCTATTTGCTCACATTTGCATGTTTTCAAACTGCTAGGTTGGCAGAAGCTGGGACTAACAGCCCTGCTCCCCTGATTTGAACCGCCGACCTTTCGATCAACAAGTTCAGCAGCTCAGCGGTTTAATCCACTGCACCACCAAGGGCTCCAATAATAAACATTTTAATGCTTAATAATTCTTGTTTAGTCCCTTAATAAGTACTCCCTGCTTTGCTAATGACTTATTATAGACCAGGAGCCTCAAAGGTACATTTGCGGGTGCAACTGTCAATGGAAACAGACGATCTTTCTTATCTGCATCAGCCCTTCATATTTGTGAATTGTTCTGGGGTGCTGTGAAATAGTATAGGGCTGGTGTCTGTGCCATGCCGGGGGCTTCAGGGGCAAAAGAAGAACACCCCATTGTGCTTTTACTTCAGTACAAGTGCAACATTAGATTTAAGCCTTAAAATCAGTGTCTTCATTCCTCATGCAAAACCTACCCATTCCTCATTCAAAGCCTCATGCAGAACTTATTTGCTTCAACAGTGTTGATAGAAGGGAAGATTCTCCAGTATCAGGCTCTATGGTACATACTCAGTCTGTACCATATTATAGTACGGTTTGGAGCATCTTCAGTTTGAAATATCAGAAAATGAGGGTGGGGCACTTTTCAGGGACAATTCAACTCCCACAAGCCTTGGTTAATCCTAGTATAATGCTAATACAAAACTCTTTTTTAACAGATAACTTTGATATTTAGTGGAGAATTTGCCAGAAGAAACTGGTGGAATTTGACTCTTGATTTTAGCTAATATTCCACTTTTTATCCAAAGGCTTCATGACCAAATCCAAGGTCCTGTTCACAAAGAAGTGGCTTGTTTTATTTAAAAGAAGCAGACTAGCTTAACTAATATTTTCCTGCAAGTTTTCAATAATTTTCAAATTTGTTGCTGTATGCTGGCTCTGTGTAATTTAAAAAACAGGATATAATCTTATCAGTTTCATCATTCCCAAAGATTTTTTTCTTCTTTTTTGATGTGTGGTGTGAGAGAGATAAAGATTTAATAACTAAATTTAATAATTTAATAATTATATGTCCCTTCTCTGTGTTGTCAAAGGATTTCATGGCCGTAATCACTGAATTACTGTGAGTTTTCCAGGCTGTATGGCCTTTTTTTGTTGTTGTGTCAGGAGCGACTTGAGAAACTGCAAGTCGCTTCTGGTGTGAGAGAATTGACTGTCTGCAAGGACGTTGCCCAGGGGACGCCCAGATGTTGTGGGAGGCTTCTCTCATGTCCCCGCATGAGGAGCTGGAGCTGATAGAGGGAGCTCATCCACTCTCACAACCTCCGAGGATGCCTGCCATACATGTGGGCAAAACGCCAGGAGAGAATGCTTCTGGAACATGGCCATACAGCCCAGAAAACTCACAGCAACCCAAAAAAGTGGATATTGGATTATTGGTTTGAATGAACGTTTTACTGTTCTGGGGATGAAAGTGCATTTGCACACATAAAAAGCTGACAATTTTAGTGAAATAGTCTCGAGGCTTTTATAGTTATGCTTTGTTCGGACCCAGTGGTTCTTAAAAAATATTTTCTATTGATCTCTGCTGGAGTTTGGTGGGTTGCGTTGTTGTTAATTACACTATTCAGCTCTGGAATCATCAAAACCAAACAAACCCTAGCAACAACTATTGTGAAAGGCTGCTTTGGCACATGGTGCTGGTGCAGCTTCACAGGTCCCAGGGCCTATAACCTGATCAATAATTCGACCCTTGTCAAAAGAATTGCAAAGCTCAAGTTGTTAAAAAAAAAAAACTACCATTAAGGCCAATTACAAATATTCCCCATTTTTCCATAGCCTTCCCATGGAGAACCTGAATGAAGTCCATGGGCAGAGCATGGAAAACCCATTTTTTGGTTGCGCCTCCCCAAACCCCCAGTAGCTATACTGGAAATCATAATCAGAAAAATATTTCATGGGCCTCCCCAGTGTGCAGATGTCATCTTGAGAGCTAATCCCATGTACTGCGCCTCAGAAACATATTATGTAAACCTGGCAAAATTAAAAACCTGTGAAGTTGCTGGACCAAATTTTGGCACTTTGTGGGAAGCAGCATTAGTTGTTAGCAAACCTCTTGGTTCTCCAATTATCAAGGGAACTGACAAGCTGCTTCCTGGATGCCTTTGAAATTAGTTTTTGCTCATGGAAACAGAAGTTCGATACTTTTGTATGATATGCGTGGGAGAACTGCACAACTTGAATGGATACTGACAGACTATTTTCTGTAGGTACTACTTATAAAAGAAAGCTTTAAAGGCATTTAAAAGATACTGATGATTTGTAACAAAGGCAGCAGTCTATCCCCACTTATCTGCAAAGAAGTCCTATTAAACTTGGACTTATTTCTGAGTAGAGATACTATACCTTGTGCTGTTAACTACACATTCTGGCACATTTTAATATTCCATGTAAATTCTTAATAGATGTGAACCTAGAATAATACAGTATTTGCAGTTGAATACCGATTGTTCAAAGTTTGTTTTCTATGTATGAAATTCTGAAATTGCACTGAAAATTCCTTTCCCCCCAAAAAATGTGAATATATTTCTGTTAGTGTGGTATGAGTGGATGTTTGAATCAAATTATTTTACTCAAACCATAGTAAAGGTAAAGGTTTCCCCTTGACATTAAGTCTAGTCATGTCCGACTCTGAGGGGTGGTGCTCATCTCCTTTTCTAAACGAAGAGCTGGCATTGTCCGTAGACACCACCAAGGTCATGTGGCCGGCATGACTGCATGGAGTGCCGTTACATTCCCACAGAAGCGATACCTATTGATCTATTCACAGTTGCATGTTTTCGAATTGCTAGGTTGGCAGAAGCTGGGGCTAACAATGAGAGCTCCCTCCTACTTTGTTCTAAAGGTTCTTATCCAAAATATGACAGTGTATTATAGTTAATGGCATAGCATATTGTGCTGAAATCTCCAAATATTCTGAAATTACTTCAGACTACCAAAGTGAAAGGTAGATAATTAATCTGAAGTCAAACAAGAATATATATTTAGGGGAAATATGTGGATTGCAGCCTCAGGTGAAAATAAGCTAAGAGAGTGTGTGTGTGATATAGTTGCACAAGTTTGGTTGGAGAACTGTGAATCAGTGTCAAAAGCTTTCATGAATGCACTGCAGACCTCCCAGAGGGTGGGTGACTTGGCACTGAAAAGTTGTAAGGTTCAAAAATGAGTTGATAAAAGGCATATCATGTTATGAATGTGGTGAGATTAATTTTCAGTATCTGATACAGGGAACAGAAGATGATTATATTTCCCTACCAAAATTCTTGGATTGTGTATTTTTATTGTTTCTAAACACCAAACTAATATAAGAATTGTAAACTTGCACAAATGATTTTAACTTGCTTCATTCGAAATAAAAGTGAAAACATTGTCCAACATCCCGTGTGTAAGAGTCGAGTATTAAAACATCTTGCATTCTTTAGATTTGGCTGTGATTTGGATCCAGAGTTCCATTCATGAGATGTTGCCACAGAAAAACGGGGAGGGGTGTTTTCAGTGGATTGAGACAACTTTCTCCAACGATAGTGAGAATGTTGACTGAAGGGCAAAGAAACAAAAGGCAAACATGAACAACCAAATACTATTTTTTAAAACTCGTTTTGCCTTTTCATTAAATATATAATATTTTACTCCAAATTTACACATTACAATAGTGTTATTGCTAGCCTTGCCTAGTATTTCTTTTCAGAGGAAGGAAATATATTAAAGGGAAAATTTGTGCACGATCAGTATTAACAGTAATATTGCCCCTATCACATTCAACCAGCTGTATTGAAATGGCGTCAAAGCAATTCTTCTTAAAATGTGGTATCGTTTTTCTCTCTCTAGTATAGTGTTTCTCAATCTTCCTAATGCCATGACCTCTTAATACAGTTCTTCATGTTGTGGTGACCCCCAGCCATAAAACTATTTTTTGTTGCTACTTCATAACTAATTTTGCTACTGTTGTGAATCATAATGTAAATATCTGATATGCAGGATTTTCATTCACTGGACAGAATTTGGCACAAATACCCGATATGCCCAAATTTGAATACTGGTGGGAGTTTTGGGAGGAGGGGGGACTGATATCGTCATTTTGGAGTTGTAATGTCTGGGATTTATTGTTCACATACAATCAAAGAGCATTCTGAGCTCCACCAATGATTGAATTGTTCCAAACTTGGCACACAGAACTCCCAGGACCAACAGAAAATATTGGAAGGGTTTGTTGGGCATTAATCTTAAGTTTTGGAGTTGTAGCTCACCTACATCCAGAGAGAACTGTGGACTCAAACAATGATAGACCTGGACCAAACTTGGCACAAATACTCAAAATGCCCAAATGTGAAAACTGGTGGAGTTTGGGGATAATAGACTTTGATATTTGGGAGTTGTACTTGCAGGGATTTATAGTTCACCTACAATCAAAGAGAATTCTGAACCTCACCAATGATAGAATTAGGCCAAAGTTCCCACACAGAACCCTCTTGCCTTGAAGGGACTCGCTGGCGCGAGCCTCCCTCCTACGTCACACACTCTTCCTCACCTGCACATGCACACCCAGCTGCCATGCACCGAGCACACCTGCTCTCCTCTCCCCACTTTGAGTCTCAGAAACAGTCCTCCCTATGGCTGAGAGACTGACCAATCACAGCAGGAGGAGGGCTTTTGTTGGGAGGATTCACTGTCTGTTTTCAAAAAGAAAGAGAAGGTGGAGAGGTCTTCAGCCTTCTCTGGCTAAGGGGTTGCTTAGACCATCAGAAATATATGTTTTCTTATGGTCTTTGGCAACCCCTCTGAAACCCCCTCATGACCCCCAGGTTGAGAAATGCTGCTGTAGTGGCAAGTACAGAGTATATTGCTGTTTACATAGGAAACAATTGACCAGGTCTGTAAAATGCTTCTGCTAGATTATAATGTTCCCAGAATTGACAGCTATCTTCTTCCCTCCTTTTATCATTGTATGTGCCCTTAAATGCTGGTCTGGAGGGTAGGAGGCTGCCTGGTACAGGCATTTTGGCATGATGGGGGCCTCCAGCAGGAGGGGGAGGAAGTTTCAATTTAGCTGGTATTGAATAGCACAGTAGTCAACCCATCATTCAAATTAGAATCATGCACCATGTGCTAAAAGCATGGAATTGGATCTGTAGTGGAGAGGCCCTTCAGCTAAGACTAAAGTACAGTCTTGATATCTCCACTTTTTGGAATAGTGTCTAATTTTACAACTAGTGGAATCGGTTAGAAATAGGCCAATCCTTCCAGTACAGTAGATCTGGTGTAATTTATCCCATAACTGTTTTGGCGCACTACTTTATTTGAAGTGCAGCATCCCAGAGGATTTAGTGGAATGTTCGTGGTTTCCTGTAATCGTCTGAAATGAGCTTTCCAGTATAGAAAATTCCTTATGGAATTGTTACCCCTAGTCTTAGCTTTCAAGCAGTTTTGAATTTTTGAAGTCAGTAATATAGAACATGAGAGCCATCATTATTTAGTGGTTTGAGCATTAGGACTCTTTAAGAGCAGGGTTTGGATCCCCACTCAGCCATGAAACCCAGTGGGTGACCTTAAGCAAGGCACAGTCTTTCAGCCTCCTACTGAGGGGAAGGAAAGACCACTCTCAATAAATCTTAAGGAAAATACTTGGTGATAGGGTGGCCTTAGGGCAGTGTTTCTCAGCCTTCCTAATGCCGAGACCCATTCATACAGTTTCTCATGCTGTGGTGACCCCTGCCATAAAATTATTTTTGTTGCTACTTCATAACTGCAATTTTGCAACTGTTATGGATCGTAATGTAAGTAGATTATATGCAGGATTCATTTTCACTCACTGGACTGAATTTGGCACAAACACCCAATACACCCACATTTGAATACTGGTGGGGTTGGGAAGAAGGTTGATTTTGTCATCTGGGAGTTGTAGTTGCTGGGATTTATAGTTCACCTACAACCAAAGAACATTCTGAACTCCACCAATGATGGAATTGAGCCAAACTTGGCACACAGAACTCCCATGATCAACTGGAAGGGTTTGGTGGGAACTGATGCTGAGTTTTGGAGTTGTAGTTCACCTACATCCAGAGAGCACTGTGGACTCAAACAATGGTGGATCTGGACCAAACTTGGCATGAATGCCCAAATGTGAACATTGGTGGAATTTAAGGAAAATCGACCTTGATATTTGGGAGTTGTATTTGCTGGGATTTATAGTTCACCTACAATAAAAGAGTATTGTGAACCCCACCAATCTTATAATTGGGCCAAACTTCCCACACAGAACCCTCATGTCATGAAGGGACTTGCTGGCATGAGCCTCCCACCTTGCACACTCTCCCTTGCCTGAAGATGTGCACCACACTGCCATGTGCCAAACACGCCTTCTCTGTCCTCCCCACTTGGAGTCACAGACACACCCCTCCCCTTGGCTGAGAGGCCAACCAATCACAGCATGAGGAGGGCTTTTGGTGGGAAGATTTGCTGTCTGTTTCCAAAAAGGAAAAGAAGGACAGGTGGAGAGATCTTCAACTTCTGCCAAAGTGGTTCTTAAGACGATTGTGTTAGTGGATACTTCTTAAAGTGGGAAAACATCATTTTAAATGTGGTTCCCAGACTGCAGTCTGACATGATCTAATCCTTTACTTCCACAGACTATTATCAGCTTATTTTACACATGTAGACCAGGCCTGCATTTATCTCAAATCCCACCGCTGACAGAACATATCCAAAGTTTTTTGTAAGTCTGTATATTATTTTTCCTGGATCACTTCTGTCTACATGCATTTTGTTCATTTAATGCATCACAGTACATAATTTAAAGAGTTTTTCCCTTAGGAAAAAATTTTTTTTTGCCAGATGTTGTTGTTCATTCGTTCAGTCGTCTCCGACTCTTCGTGACCTCATGGACCAGCCCACGCCAGAGCTCCTTGTCGGCCGTCACCACCCCCAGCTCCTTCAAGGTCAGTCCAGTCACTTCAAGGATGCCATCCATCCATCTTGCCCTTGGTCGGCCCCTCTTCCTTTTGCCTTCCACTTTCCCCAGCATAATTGTCTTCTCTAGGCTTTCCTGTCTCCTCATGATGTGGCCAAAGTACTTCAACTTTGTCTCTAGTATCTTTCCCTCCCGTGCGCAGTCGGGCTTTATTTCCTGGAGGTTGGTCTGGTTAGATCTTCTTGCGGTCCATGGCACTCTCGGAATTTTCCTCCAACAACCACAGTTCAAAAGCATCTATCTTCCTTCTCTCAGTCTTCCTTATGGTCCAGCTCTCACATCCATAGGTTACTACAGTGAATACAACTGCTTTAACTATGCGAATCTTCATTGCCAATGTGATGTCTCTACTCATCACTAATTTATCGAGATTGGTCATTGCTCTCCTCCCAAGAAGTAAGCGTCTTCTGATTTCCTGGCTACAGTCTGCATCTGCAGTAATCTTTGCACCTAGAAATACAAAGTCTGTCACGGCCTCCACGGTTTCTCCCTCTATTTTCCAGTAGTCAATCATTCTTGTTGCCATAATCTTGGTTTTTTTGACGTTTAGCTGCAACCCGGCTTTTGCGCTTTCTTCTTTCACCTTGATTAGAAGGCTCCTCAGCTCCTCCTCGCTTTCGGCCATCAGAGTGGTGTCATCTGCATATCTGAGGTTGTTAATGTCTCTTCCAGCAATTTTCACCCCAGCTTTGCATTCATCAAGCCCCGCACATCGCATGATGTGTTCTGCATACAAGTTAAAAAGGTTGGGTGAGAGGATGCAGCCTTGCCGTACGCCTTTCCCAATCTTGAACCAGTCTGTTGTTTTGTGGTCAGTTCTGACTGTTGCTACTTGGTCCTTGTACAGATTCCTCAGGAGAGAGGGAAGGGGGCTTGGGATGCCCATCCCACCAAGAACTTGCCACAATTTATTATGATCCACACAGTCAAAGGCTTTAGAATAGTCAATGAAGCAGAAGTAGATGTTTTTCTGAAACTCCCTGCCTTTCTCCATTATCCAGCGGATATTGGCAATTTGGTCTCTCGTTCCTCTCCCTTGTCTAAACCCAGCTTGAACATCTGGCAACTCTCGCTCCATGTATTGCTGGAGTCTTCCTTGCAGGATCTTGAGCATTACCTTACTGGCATGAGAAATAAGGGCCACTGTACGGAAGTTTGAGCAGTCTTTCGCATTTCCCTTTTTTGGTCTGGGGATATAAGTTGATTTTTTCCAGTCTGATGGCCATTCTTGTGTTTTCCATATTTGCTGGCAAATGGCATGCATCACCTTGACAGCATCATCTTTTAAGATTTTAAACAGTTCAGCTGGGATCCCGTCGTCTCCTGCTGCCTTGTTGTTAGCAATGCTTCTTAAGGCCCATTCAACTTCACTCCTCAGGATGTCTGGTTCTAATTCATTCACCACACCGT